GACCAGGCTGGCCTCGAACTGCAGAGATCCACCTGCCTCTGCCTCCTGAGTGCTGGGATTAAAGATGTGCACCACCAATTCCTTGGCGAATGAATACATCTTATTCATGACACCTGTATACACAAATGTGAGAGACCGATAAGGCTGCACACATCCATCTCCAAATGAATACAATCACCTTCTGAATGAATTCATCCTGCACTTGTAAGCTGATATGCATCTGATTGCTTTGACTATTTGCATTATTGCTTTTGTGTATGAATTTTTCTCAGTGCTAATTATGTGAGATTATTATGTTGTTCAGACATTCTGAAAAATCTGAAGCAATCATTGCTACAGAAAGTAGCCTATTCAAGAAGCTGACTCACTCCTTACTCCTCCCAAATTTTCTCAGTAAAAGCAAGTAACCTTTTTTTGCTTACACTCAAGGTAAAGAGATCATTTATCACAGATTGATTTTGGATATGTTTGTCACAATAATGTAAAGAAATGAGATTCATTTGAATACATGCAAAGACCACTGTTGTTGTAAGCAACTTTTCCAGCAAGCCTCCCTATACATTATGACCCAGCCATTCAGGCCGGTTCAGTCCAGAAATATTTTCATAGCAAAGATAAAATCACAGTTGCACAGAAACAAATATGGAGAGGCTTACACTGAGAAATCACCCTCTCATTTATACTGAATCAAATGGGTCAGTCTTGTTATAAAAGAATGGGACATATAATTTCAAAGTGTCCTGGAGGATACAGAATCAGATATAAGGGAGCAATCAGTGTTTCTCAAATTACCTTAAGAGATTTTCTTCTTTTCTCTTGATGAATTATATAAACATATGTTTACAAACTAAACCATGTTCTCTATTCTAATTTTAAAGTCATCACCAGTAGCAATAATACTATTTGGAGCTAATGGCTTTATAAATATTTTGAGATTAAATGAGGTTATAAAGGTAGAAATGTAATAAAACAATTTGTGTCCTTATCTGAAGATGAAGACAAGTCACCAGGGATGTGAATGAAACATATGCACATAAGCATGTGAGTGCACACACACACACACACACACACACACACACACACACACACACACACACACACACACACACATACACAAATGCCCTGTAAAGACAGACAATGATGAAGGTGGCAGGTGACTGTCAGGTCAAGAATTTTGTCTTGGCCGGGCGGTGGTGGCACACACCTTTAATCCCAGCACTCGGGAGGCAGAGGCGGATCTCTGTGAGTTCGAGCCCAGGCTGGACCAACAGCCTCCAAAACAATACAGAGAAAAACAAAAAACAAAAACAAAAACAAAAAAAAAGGAATTTTGTCTTGGACTTCAACCTTCAGAATTGCAGGGAAATGCATTTTTTTATTTTGCAGGACATCAAGTCCATGTTAATTTTTAATGGGAGCCTCAGAAAACCAATACAACATGGAATAAACAAGAAACGTAATTTAGTCCATATAGGTAAGGGTTTATAATTCACCTTCTTATATTTACTTAAAAACTTAAAAGCTACTTTGTAATTTATGTTTCTGTTTTGTTCAATTGCCATTTTATAATGGGGAAAAGTCAGGAAAAAAGACTCAGAAAAAAAGTTATGCGTAATTACATGGCTGTTTTAATTATTTCTGTGAGGAGACACCATGAACACAGCATTGCTTCTAAAGAAAAACATTTAATTGGAGCTGGTTTACCATTTCAGAGGCTTAGTCCATTATCATCATGGTGGAATATAGAGGCATGCAGGCAGACATGGTGCTGTAGAAGGATCTGGGAGTTCTATATCTTGATCTGCAGGCAATAGGAAGTGAGCTGAATCTCTTTGAGCACAGTTTGAGTATAGGAAACCTCAAAGTCCACCCCCATGACATACTTCCTCCAACAAGGCCATACTTATTCCAACAGAGTCACACTTCCTAATAGTGTCACCACCTTTAAGAGCCTTTTTTTTTTTTTTTTTTTTTTTTTTGGTTTTTCGAGACAGGCTTTCTCTGTGGCTTTGGAGGCTGTCCTGGAACTAACTCTTGTAGACCAGGCTGGCCTCGAACTCACAGAGATCCGCCTGCCTCTGCCTCCCAAGTGCTGGGATTAAAGGCATGCGCCACCAAGAGCCATTTTATTTCAAGTTAACTGGTAGGTGAAATTCAGTCTCTCTGAGTCTGTATAAAGTGTTTACTTTCTGAAATAATACAAATTATCAATGGGCTGTCCCGGGAAGATCTGGTTGTTTAAGCTTATAAGCATGGCTGGTTTTCAGAATAGCAGAATATTTCAGCAATCTTTCTACCTTAATTTTATTATGATGTGCTCCATGAAAACTTTGACTTAATAGAAAATTATCATACAAAATTTATTTTAGCAACTGCAGCATGGTCTCACATTTCCTGTGGTTTTTGTAAAACAATGTTTGAAGCAATCAATTGCAGTAAATATTTTGTAGCTTGTCATTAGGTTACTTTCCTTAATGATCAGGTTTTTCTAAGTGGAATGTTATGGGATCCTAAATGGTGCAGATTTTTGTCAGTAGAATTGCAAAGAAGACTGGGAGAACGAAATTTTCCTTTGAAAAGGGAGAAAACTGAAAATGTTCCATTATCATTAAAGAGTTGCTTTCCTTGTGTGTATTCTTCTACAAGGTGAACAACCACTAGCTTAGGTAGAACATTTAACATAATCAATAAATGTTTTTGTATCTGCTATGATCGCTCTTTCATTTTTGTTCATTGCACAAAGCTTATTCACATTCATGCCTATTTTCTTCACCAGCAACTTCCATCTCCCTCTAAAACATACTGCAGTTCATTAAATATTCAAAGTGCCAATTTTGCTAAGGTGCGTACAGTTCATTCAAGCTTCATAAATAACCTTATCTCTCTCTTTCCCATCTTCCAGAAGAGCCTAATCTACTTTGCTTATCTTTGTTTTACTACAGGACATTTAGTGTTACATGGTTATGGTTTTCCTGGAGTCCCACAAGCTTTAGTCTCCTGAACCATACTACTGTATTCTACTACTATTTTCTATAAAAGTTTAAAAAATTATCTATCTATCTATCTATTTATCTCTCTGTTTAAAAAATTATATATATATATATATATATATCTGTGTGTGTGTGTGTGTGTGTGTGTAGGATCAGATTTTCTACTTCTACTATGTGGACCTAGAATTCAGGTCACCAGACTAAATGGTAAGCACTTTTACACTATGCAGACAACCTATGCTTATTTTGATGGAGCAGAACTGTGTATTGTTTGCTTGCTTTTGATAGAAGGTTATTTCTAGACCATGCCATCTCCATTATTGTCATTCTTATCTTTCATTCTCCTGTCACTTGGGATCCCTGGCTTGTCTTATGTGGGAACAGCCACCAAAAGTTCAGTTCTACCTTCAGTCTGAGCTGATAACACTCAAAATTTGGATGAACTTCATGCTGTCCCCCAAAGAACTAGCTAATTTGTAAAGGGAGGCTTTTCCTTGCTAGCCGCTTTGGTTTATCACCTGCCAGTTGCATGGGCTCTGCCGCGTTGTAGTCCCCAAATACCACACAAGACACTTTATTATTTATGAAGCTGTTGGCTTTGCTTTTTCTTACTGGCTAGCTCTGACTTAAGTATTTACCCCATAATTGTTAATCTAAGTATTTCTCTTACCAGAGCAAAGTTTCCGGGCTTCTTCTCCCTATGGCAGCTACATCTTTACTCCCTGTCTTTCTCCTACCCAGAGTCCTCCTGGATTCCCAGTCCCACTTATCTTGCTTTCCTATTGGCCAACAGTGCTTTATTGACATATACACAGGACTTCCCCAACACTAATTAACTAAATAAATAAAAGTAAAAGAAAAATAAATAAGCACCCACTATTTTCCAGCTCAGTTGGGCAAGTTTTGTGTACTAGAGCATTGCTTTAGGTTAACAGATTGCTGCAGTGTTAATGAAAACACATGCAAAACTGCACACACAGTCTTTTTTTTCCTCCTTAAATAAGTGCCCATTAAAAATAACTATATGATAATTAATGAGGAAAGAAAGTAGTGTCTGTGGATGGTTTGTCAATATTGTTGCTGGGTCATTCATCTGTGGAGCAGTGATATTCACTTACTCCCTCCTCTGTGGTGGAGATGTAGCGTAGTATTTCACTTCTTATTTTAGACACTTTCTCAAGCATTATTTTAAACAGGCAAAGAGGGACCACTTTCAATCTAAAGAAAGCCCCCATTCTTTGATGATGACTTCCTAATGAAGGGAATCCTCATTCCAAATGACTTCAAAAAGGCACCAATCCTCTGAAATTAATGTCCTTAAGTATGTGGGCAGAAACAGCTGCTGAATGTTAAATTAAGTTGCAACATACTTAGAGAAATGGGTGATGTTTGTGTGACATGATTTTATTTTAAAACACTCTTGTTGACCTTTACAAAAGTAATAGAGAGTTATTTAAGATATTTACAATGGGTGGATGTAGCTATGAGTCCTAATTCCCAAATCACTGTTTGTAAAATGTTCTGCTTCTATGATCCACATTTCCATAGTTTTCTTCAGGCAGAGACAGGCAAGAAAGCAAGTTCAACAAGAAAATTATTTGCTTGAGGACACAAGGTATATGCAGCCCATAGAAAGCAGAAAGCAGATGGACTAAGTTACTGGAAAATTAGCCCATTTTATCACATGACACAAAGCATCCACTCTCCTGGCCTGATTTTTCAGAAAAGCAGAAAATTCTTAAACACAAAGATGCTGTCCACTATAGTGAGAAAATGCACTTACACTGGATATTTTTCATTGAAAATATTCTTTTAAAATTAATTCTATTCATTGATGAAAATTGTGCTGCTTGCAGACATCTCTGTACTCTGTACTGAGATCTTATGTATTTATAAGTTGGTAGGAAATTTTTTAAATTAAAGCTGTAAAATAAGCATAGTTGGAGAGCTAACATGAGGACTTTTACTTCATTTACATTCATTACATATTATGAGTTTAATTACCTTCCTCAAATAATACTGGGCTGAAGCAAAGATCCTGAAGAAGGCGTATTTCGATGATGATTTTATTGATTGTGACTGATGGATGGCATCAACATTTCATAGTGAAGAATCATGGTTTTGTTACATCAGGAAAATTAAATTGGGAGAGTTATTTTCTTTCCCAGTGATAGTGGCAGTTAGAATATTTCACCTGTAATGAGATGTGTGCGTTATGTGCCATCGTGAACCACGGCTCAGCCATTAAATATATGTAAATGAAGAGAAACACAAGAGAGCCCGGGCATAATAACGTGCAGAACAGAGAAATGGATCCTGGAAAGTGATTAATTTATTTGATGATGCCTCAAGTGAGGAATTTTAGGTCACAAATGAAGTGACAGAATGACAAATTACCATTTTAAAGAATTTACTGGGCATCATTACTGAACAATTGTCAGGTAGTTTATGGTGGCTGAGAAGATGGTATAAATATAGATCTTTTCCTTATCTGAGTTGAATTATTAATCACCTTTTTAAAAATCTTTGTGAGTGATGGTTGGCTGTCTGATTGGAAATAATGTGTTCTACAATTTTAACTAAATTCTAATATGATATGTAACAGGAATCTTTACAATTAAGGTCTCAGTGGAGAGTGGTGGGAGGTTTACAGTCAATTGCAGTTTTAATGTGATAGAAGAGGATGAATCCACCAGCATATTTCAATAGATTTCCTTAGGTATATCATCCCTGCTGTGATGCTATTCAAATGTTTACAGTTTATTTTCATTTGAAAAATGACATTCAGATGCTTAAATTGTTTTCCTTGGTTTATTAGTTAATGAAAATGAAATTCTGGTAATTACTATAGTTTTGCAGTCTGCCACATTATTTAAAGTGAAGTGACTGGCTTTGTCAGCTGCATTGTAAATGTCATCTTCCTGTGTTTTGTCCAATTTTTGTTTGCTTTATCTATGTCATGTCCCTTTTCTGTCTATATGTCACTGTATCTAATGCTAGGAACAACCAGCATGCAGAAGAAACAGGCAGAGTTGGGAATAAAGACATTGTCACAATTCTTTCATGCTTTCCTAATTAAACTTGCTTTATAAATGGCATTAGTAGGAAAAATAAAAATGAAACTCTTTAATATTTAGATGAAAGGAACTCAGTACATTTTATAATGTCTGTGTCATGCTTAATCCAGTTTCCACATCTACTCATATGTGGCCAAGTGTGACCCTCTTAGATCTACTATGTGTATAATGAAAATTACTAGATAAGAATTAGAGTCTTTTAAAAACAGTATTAACAGGGTATAAATTTCTAGAGAACTATATAGAGAGAATGTCTCTAAAGCAAGTAAATAGTACTTCCTGTCTAGTTTTTACATGTGTCTATCCTAAATGGCTCATTATTCACTCAGAAAGAAAAAACAAAAGCAAAAACAAAAAACAAGTAAAAAGCAAAACAAACAAACAAACAAAAACCCAGAGGATTTTACTCCTTTTTCCTTATTATGTGTCTCATTTTGATCTTGATCCATTCTGAAAGCACAAGAAAAATTTAAATAAAGATTCCCTGTGTTATCCATGACATCTTACATTGCTGAATTCACAAGAAATTTAAATTTTGAATGTTCATGCTCCTTTTTAAGTCATTTTGCTTTTACTTTTCTGGTCTTCTTCGTGGCAGACAGTCTTTTTCTAAGTCTTTATGTCATATCAAATAAAGAAAAAGAAAACTTTTTATTCTTTATCTCTAATATCATGGTCCAATCTCCATTCTGCTCATGAAGTTTTGGGATGTGTTAGGGGATAGCAGCACTGATTCAAGATGACATACCCCTTTCTCTCAGTGGGTGCCTGTTACCTCTGACAGCCATAGGGCTGCATTCCAGGGTAGTCTATGCTAAACTTTCTCCATTAGACATGCCCTTACTTTTCTACCATCTTCTTTCATCTGTTCTTGCTTGCCACAGAAAACACAAACATGCAAATAGAAGAATGGCGGTGCTCCATAAATAAAATTCAGATATTATATGAACCAATATGGCAGAGTTGGACTGTAAACAGCACAGTTCACAGTGATTATAAATGTATCTCAAAGGACACAATGGCTGCATTTTGTGAACAGAACCCTGCTGTACACTTTAAATACCTTTAATCCTTTGCCAGCCTGAATCTGCTCCAGAGGAAGTTGTGGGTGGAGGGAGATTTGACTCCAAATGAATTAAAGAAGTAAGAGAACTAATTCCTACAAAGAACAGTAAAAAAAGATTTAAATTAGTTTGAGTTCACAGGAAGGAAGATTTAGTGCAGTTAAAGACAGTGACCTTCTACTCTTAATGGTTCAGGTGTGTGAATGAGGAATTCAGCAGTCTGTCAATTAAACGACATTAACAAATGTCCAATATATTCCAGGTGTGTACATAGAAAGCAGTGTGTGAGCTATATCCTTAAGGATAAGTCAAAATATAGTGATAACCCACCTCCTTCATTAGGGAAACTTTCTGCAATCCATGTAGAGCTTTTTGGGTGCTTCAGAAACAACACTGGCCACTGAGTTTAGCAGTGGGCATAGGAGCAAGAATTTACTCAACCAAGACTGGATGTGTAGTTAAAACAACACAAACTAGAGATCTTGTCTTGGGGTTTAGTAGGGATTTGGGCAATGAAAACGTTTTCCTTTGTCTGAGATACAAGGGGAATGTGCTTGAAATGTGGTATTTCCAGCACTCTTTTCTGGTCCATATGAAAGGACACCCATAGACCCAGAGCTTAAGGACACTGTTGAAGGACACCAAGAGTAGAACATTGGAAAGAGGAAGCTTTGTAACAAAGATTGAGCAGAGAGTAAATAAGAAATGGATGCAAATCCAAAAGTGTATAAGCAAGTAACATCATGGAATCCTAAGTTAATAAGTCCTTTATTTATTGACTTTTCCGACTTATAATTTGAAATTTTGTGCTAGAAATAGGATTTCAAAGACCTGTATATACTAAAAAAAATCAAAGAAACATTCTGATGTTTTTAATCAATTAAAATACATTGTCATGAACTTATTTCTTCTGTGAGAGGTACTCTAACCCTGTCTCTAGCATGTGTAAATCTCATGATGGAAGTGATGATATGAATAAAGAACCATAAACTTATTTTTAATATCCAGGTATGTCTTACAAATCTAAGTTTAGATTTTCCTGCATCTTATGCCAAAATGGCCCAAATAATGACTTCTCTTTCCATAGAGATTGTTACATTACAGAAGTAGCATATCTCTGACTCTCTTTAATCTTCAGTTTTCCTTTCTTCTCCAAACCTTGGAAATGACACACAAAAAATTAATCAAGTGTCAAAGCTATGTACTATTTGGGCTATTTCCCTACTAGGTTTCCTATAAAATTTCAAGCATACAGAAAGTAGACATCCATACAGCTTCTGCTGTTGATATTTTACCTTACCACACATCTAGGCCCTTTACTCATCGATTTATCTTATAATTATAGATGTATTTCTAAGTAAACTACAGACTACATTTCTTGTTTCCTAAATCCTATAACATGTACAATGAAATTCAGTTGTTATTCATGCTTTTCTGTTAAAGTAAATGCTACATACATTTATCCTTGCTGAGCTTTTACTAGTGTATAAAAGCATTTGTACAGTTCAATCACATACCACTTTGTTTATAGATCTGATGACTTGGATATGAAGTGTCCTCCAAAAGGTTCATATGTTAAAGGCTTGATTCCTTATGCTTCAGTGTTCAGAAGAAGACTTTAGGGGAGTGATTATTAGGACACAGGATCTTGTATTTAAACATGAGTTAATCCATTGATGGTACTAGGATTTGATGCCCTTACTAGGAGATGGTATAGATTTAGAAATCAGAACGCAGCTAAAAGGGTAGCTGTGGACAGGCCTTTGATGGACACATCTTGTTTCCTGTACTTCTCAGTCTCTTAATTTCCTGGTTTCCACGAGGTAAAAAGCTTTGCTCTGCCATATGTCTTCATGGGATTCTGCTTCACTGAGACCGAAAAAATGAGTCTCTTGATTATTCACAAAAGTCTTTGAGGTGCTAGGTATAAATAAGTTTTTTTTCTTTTCAGTTTTATACCAGGTGTCTCATCATAACAATGAAAAGCCATCCAATACAGTATCATTATTTTTTGATTGGAAAATTACCTCATCCCTTCTCCTGTCAATATTCTTCAAACTTCTACAAAGGAAACCATGAATGATGGCTTGGGAGCTTTGTTTTTTTCTTCTCAGGCAGAATTTTATGGAGCCCAGGTCTGCCTCAAGTTCATTGTGTACATGAAGATGAGTTTGAAGTTCCCAATCTTTCTGTCACTACCTCTAGTATGCTCCTGGATCACATGTCCAGTTTTTATTGGTTGTAGAAGATCAAATACAGGGCTCTTTGCACATAAACCACATTCCCATCATCTAGGAACATTTGTAAATATTGATTTTTTTGCCTTTTTAAAACTTTGTAGAAATGGAAAAACATGGTATATAATCTACTGTGATACTGTGTTGTACAAAATATTTGCTGAGATTCAGCATTGTTGAATACAAAAGTAAAATGTTTCTTTTTATCAACACCATTCTGTATATTTGGCAGTATGCTTACCTACTCTTCTCTGGACTGGAAGCTTTTCTAGTTTGTGGCTATTTTGAACAAAGCTACTATGGATATCCTCTTTTGTGGAAATGTTCTTATTTTGGCTAACACCCAAAAGTAGATTTGTTAAATAGGAGAGAAGGTAAAATACTAGACCTTTCAAAAATAAAATTTCTGACATCTTATATTTATACCAACAATAGCATTTCTGATTATTTCACTACCTCTGTGGTCATATATGGCTTTTTCAGGGATTTTAATTTAATTTCAGTTCTTTTGAGGTTTTTATTTCTTAGATTTTTCTTCTAAGAAGAAAAGTCCATTGTCTTCATGTCTTCAACTACATTCTCTGGGATCTCTTTTTCTTTTCTTTTCTTTTCTTCTTTTTTTAACCAGTCTCCTAGTATGTTCTAGTATCTTCCTCAAAAAACAAAGGAACATAAAATTACATTCAGACATCTCTTGTTAATTATCAAACTGTTTTCTCCCTTAAATTTTATCAGCTGAGTGGCATCTGCCTTATCAAATTAAATTGTTCCAAATTTGGGGTGAAGTTTTTCCCACTGGTTCCTGACCTCTCTTGTGTTTTTACTATGCACTCCATTCTTAGAGAACACTGTTAACTCCTGTGCCCACAGACTTCATCCCCAAGACAACTGTACTGATGCTTTATCCCTATCTCTGAACCATACTTCCCTCTGAGGACCACCTGCCTATGATACAGGATTCTGATAGTTCAGTCAAATCTAACATCTAATTTTGAAGTCTTGATCTTCCAAACATCCTATTACTTCTCTAAGATCTTTGGAAGTGTTGTCTCTTTTTGATACAGGATCTTACTATGTGGCCTAGGATAACTTTAGACTCACAAATTTTCTGCCTTTGCCCCAGGTGTGGCATTCACGTGTTACGTGTCCTTTTCCCCCACCATTCTTAATCTCTGCTAGAGTTGTATGTTTCCTATGCTTCCCATCTAAAGATTACTCACACACACACACACACACACACACACACACACACACAGATATACAACACAGACTCATAGACACACACATAGAGGCATACTACACATGTTCATAGACACACATAGAGGCATACTACATGTTCATAGACACACATACTCACACACTTACACTTATACAGATGTGTGGCAGATACCGTGCTGACATCAAATTAAAAAGTAAACATAAAAGAAAAGAAAATTACAGAGCAAATCACTTGTGGCCATAGGCACAGAAGATTATAAAGTATCAACATGATATATATAAGTGTGAACTGCATAAACCATGAAGCATTTCCTTCAGAAGTTAGAATGATTTACATTAGAAAAGCAATCAACTTAATTTTCCATTTTCATAATTCCACAAAATATAGGGGACCTAAAAATAATGAAAGTATTAATTTACAATAAAAAAGAAACCAACTAATATAACACACTAAGAATATGTGGGAAAAGTTAAAAGCTAAGTTACGTTTATAGTGGAGACATCAAACCATACTATGTATACACACTTAAAGACCATTATAAGCTTTTGTGTTTGTAATTATGTAGTATATTTTGTACATGTTCACATATGTTGATTTGATATTGTCTATCTGTCTTTTATTTAGTCTGGATTAGGGTTTATCTATTTTGTTGAATTTCTCAAAGAATCAACTCTTTGTTTCATCAATTCTTTGTATTGTTCTCTTTGTTTCTATTTTATTGATTTCAGCAGTCAGTTTATTTCTTATTGTTTACTCATTTTAGGGCATATCAGGATTTCTTTTTTAATTTTTTATTATTATTTTAATTTTAAATTAAAATGTCAATCCCAGTTGCCTCTCCCGCCCCTCCTCCCACACCCCCTCCCCACCATACCCCCACAGCCTCCCAAACTATCGCTACTTCCTTCCACATAAGGGATATCTAGAGTCTGTCATTTCACTTAGGGCCAGGTTCAGGCACTCCTCTAAGAGTCCAGGCTGAGAGAGCATCGCTCTTTGTATTATGGACACACGAAGTCTGTTTGTACTCCAGGGATAAACACTGATACACTGCTCAGGACCCCATAGGTAGCCCAGGCCTCCTCATTGACTCTCACATTCAGGGGCTGTGGATCGGTCCCATGCTGGCCTCCCAGCTGTCCGTCTGGGATCCAAGAGCTCTCCCCTGTTCAGATCAGCTGTCTCTGCTGGTTTTGCCAGCCCATTCTTTCCCCATTTGCTCATCGCTCCTCTCTTTCTGTCACTGGGTTCCTTGGGTTCAGTTCAGTGTTTAACTGTGGATATTTGCCTCTGCTTCCATCAGTCACTGGATGAAGGCTCCAGGATGGTTATAGACATCAAGTTCATTATCAGGAATGGGCATTTGAGGTGGTCTCTCCACTATTGCTTAGCTTGCCAATTGGTGTCATCCCTTTAGATCACTAGAGGTCACTCTGGTGCCTGATCTGTCTTCTAAACTATGATTCCCTCTTCCCCCTATTCTACACCCCCCCTCAACCTTCCTGTTCCCCCATGACCTACTCTCTCTTCCTCTTCGACCCCTCTCTTCTTCCCATATCCCACTCCCACCACCCCTGGCCGTGTTCCTAATCTGTTCAGAAGATCTTGCCTCATTCCTCTTCTCTGGGATACCATGCAT